TCTCAAACTCCATCTCTGCATGTTGTTGTGAGTTTGGGTTTATTATAACGTTCATCTGGGAACGCAACGTGCGCCATTTCATCAGATTTGTAAGGTAAATCATTTATAAATCCACGCAAACACAGGAGAATACATCATTATCTTGCGGTTTCAAAAATAAAAGCTCAAAGTTTTTACACGTTTACGTCACGTAAAGAGTTTACACGTTTTGATGTCCACATATTCATTAAATTACAGTGGCTATAGCATTTCTGTTGTAAAGAAATGGCCCAATATTAAAGATTAAGTGGATATTTAAATTAAATGATGCTTGGTCAATATGAAACAATATTAGATCGCACAAAACAATCGTCAGGCCGTTGGCGCCCTCTGCAGGCCTTTGTTGTAATGCGTAATGTACATTAGCTCTATTGTTTATAATACATTATGTATTTTAACAGTTTTGTTGAATAAAACCATATGATTTCTTGCTTTTGATATTTTATTTGAACTAATTATTATTGCCGCATTGCTTTATATATGTATTTTAAGTAATTTTTAAGGCTATTGTTCACTTGCATCTATTTTTATTACCACAAAAAATGTATTATGATTATAGGGCCCTATGAAATCCATTTTATTTCCAAATAAATTTTTTTCCCATTTTAATTTTTCTATACTCTGTTTAAATGGTTAAATTACATTTTAATAATCAAAAAGCCTGTCTTAATTAATTGAGTTTTACCATTGTATCTTTACCAAATTCTGTTTTTTCCATTACTTTTCTGGGTTCCATTTTAATGGTTCCATAAAATTTTAATAATCAATAGGCAAGGCAAGTTTATTCATATAGCACATTTCATACACAATGGTAATTCAAAGTGCTTTACATAAAAGGAAGTAAAATAATCATTTAAAAAATCACAACAATAAAAACAAGGAATTTAAAACCTACTGTTAGTGATGTGCTCTTAACACAAACAAAAATTCTCAAGCTTTGTTCAACCTCTTCCCCACTAAGTGGAAAATCCTCCCAAAACACCTAACTATTCCACTACTTCACCCCCTACTTACTTTGACCATCATAAACCAAACAAATAGAACTCAGATGGCCTACTGTCAACTGATTAACCAACAAACTTGTCTTTCTTTGCCCATTCTCTTTACCTCCTTCACAGCACTTACTTTAAAAAAAAAACGTTTTTGATTATAATTGTATTAGTAGTAGACCAGAACACGTGGATGGATATGTTGTCATTCTCACACTATAATACTGAACTTTGATTTCAGTGGTTTGGACTATAAGATGGACACTTGCTGCACTCTATGTTGCATTTTACTTTTGCTTTAAAAAAAGGACACTGAAGTCCTGTTCATTTTTTTTTTTCATCATGCTGGAGATGTCTGTTTAAATCTGTTGTTTACACATTTCTAAGAGTACTTAAATTTTAATATTTGATTCCAGTGGACTCTAAACATTGCATTTATTTAATGTGAAAAAACTGATTAATTATTTGCTGTTCCCTTCTGAAGTTTTATTACCATTTATTGAATTAAATTGAATAAAATGCCAATTAATTGCAAAATGTTTGTATAAAGTGTTTTGAATTATCGTTATCCATTCCTTATTTTGTTAGATTACTTTTTTTTTAGATATCAATCAAGTGAATCAACAAAAATGTGTTCCCTTACTAACAAAATGTTTTCAGGGTTTGATTGTAATCATAATGCACAACCTGATACTTGCCTAACAAAAAATATCTGAACCTTGACAAAAAAAAAAGAGTATTTTAGAATGTCTAAATATATATCTAAATGCAACACCTAATAAAAGCACACAATTGCATTTAAAAATACAACTAGGGAACACAAAATCTTCTCTATATATTTCTATAGGGAGATACACAGGTGGTTACACAATGACATTACACAAGTTTTTATTTTTTGAATACCTCCAGATGGCACTGTTCTCACTTGAAAAATTAGAAGAAAAAAAAACATAATTTTTTTTTAAAGACCTTCACTCCGTTTTAATCTGAAGTATTGCATTTATTTAAAACAAATATATATAAATTTTAATGAAAAAAGCCAGTAAAAATTTTATAAATAATGTATATCATAAAATCCCCTTAAAATTCCAAATAATAATAAAAAAATTTTATTGAACAGAAATACTTATTTCATACAAAATGTACTATATCACATTTGCAGTCCTGATAATGTTCAGAAAAAAAGAGTACACTTGCCCTTGTGATTTTGCTTACCTGTATTGTTATAAACAAAAAATAAGAACTCATACAGAGTTAATATCTGTAATTTTTCATTCATTTTGGTGGCGTTTCTATAATTCACGCCTATGCCAGACTGCTTTTTGTTAAGCTTAATGGTGGGCTAAGTTAGGATGTCTGTATTGAGGTCTTTTAAGAGTGGTTTAATTGCTCAGCAGTACAGAATTATAAGTAAAATGCAGTTGTCTGCCACTCACTTACTTCATAATTGTTGCCATGGGACAATTTTAAATAAAAACAAAAATATGCAATTAAAAAAATGTTTTGCAAAGACCTATCTTTAGTCTGAGGCCAAAAGGGCAGTGATGGGAAGTGACCTCTCCCCCTTAGTCAAAAAAATCAAACACGTTTTCACAGGAGTCATAAGCCACATTTACAGTGCAATTCTTGATGCCCAATTCCCATTTGTTGACTAAATCCAATTTTTTCCTGATGACCAGCTTACATCATCTTTTAAAATGGACCATCATGATAGCTGTATTTACACATATTGACAGGTTCTTAGGTCTGTGAAACAAAACCAGCCCAAAACTGGGTGTAAATGTGTATCTAGAGCAGGGATGGGCAACTTCAGTCCTGGAGGGCCACTGTCCTGCAGAGTTTTGCTCCAACCCTAATCAAACACACCTGCTTGTAGCTTTCTAGTAACACTTATGCTGAGTTCAAGTCCTCCTGGGACGTTCGTACTTACGAGCTGACAAGTTGTAATTACGACGTCAGGTGCGTTCAAGACGCTTTGGTCGGAACAAGATGACAATTGAACTTTTCTACATAAAATTCAATATTTTTTTAAACTCTACATCTACGAAATGATGAATAAAGAATGTGCATCATTGTGTTTTTGCTTTTTTGTGTTTTTATTGAATTTATGAAGGTGATGTAAACTGAATCATTATACCTGTACATTATATGGTAATTATACAATTAATATTAATATTTAAAAAAAAAAATTGTGTATGTAACCGTTTTTACAAAATAATCAATAAGCCCTGTGAAGCCGTGGTTTACAGTGAATTTATAGCAGCTAAAGGGTGTTGTTAAAACCCCCTTAGCTGTTATAAATTCACTGTAAACCACGGCTTCACAGGGCTTATTGCTTTTATAACACGGTTTTTCCATATACGTAGTAAGGTTTCACAAAATAAAACAGCAAATAAAATGTAATGATATAAATAAAAACAGTATTCTTCCACCAAACAATGTAGTTCCTCAGAATCAGTTGTGGTTCCAACAAAGTAGTTGCCGAGCAACACACAGACGTAAACAAAGGTGTATGTTTGTAGAGTAATTTACAACAGCTTTGAACGTGGCTCAACCAATCAGAATCAAGGACCGGAACTATCCGTTTTATAATAATAATTTTATTAATTTAAACAAATTTACGGGGCTTAAAGAAAATTTCAAGTTTCCCACATGTAATAAGGACTTTGCGGTGGCGTACATGTGCGTTCAACTCTTAAATACGATCTATCCGACATGACTTGAACACACCATTAGACATTGAGCTTGTTCAGGTGTGTTTGAGAGAACCATAATCCGAACACCACGCTATGCACACACAACAGATCAAGTAGACAAGAGAGCATGCAGCTTACAAAGATGATACAGGAGTTTTAGGGGTTTGTCACCAAACTAAGAATAAGCTCAACTGAAATGACAAAACCTTAAAATTTAACCTTGGATGTCATTGTGTGCAAACAGCCCTCTGAAAAAATTAGTAATCCGTGTGTGGTTGTGTGGGCCTGACTACACCACTGATCTAATAGCACTTAAGGAGAGATGTAGCCAAAATCATGTGCCCAAAGCAGGTTATGTGTTAATTTGTATGTCTTTTTCCACTTTAGATCTGATGACACTGAAAGAGGAGAGTGAAGTACCAAACGAAATGGAAGAAAAATATCAGTATAAGAAACATCATGATTTTAAAACTGAGGAAAACTGTTTTAGTTGCTCACAGACAGAAATGACTTCTTCACGAAAAAGAGCTCAAAAGACTAGTAATTTCACCTGCTTTCGGTGTGAAAGGAGTTTTAATAAAAGTGGAAACCTTAAAATGCACATGAGAATTCACACTGGAGAGAAGCCTTTTACCTGCCAACAGTGTGGGAAGAGTTTCAACCGAAAACAAACCCTTAACAGGCACATGCGAACTCACACAGGAGAGAAGCCTTTCCCCTGCAAAAGGTGTGAACTAAGTTTCACTCAAAAAGGAAGCCTTAGAAGGCACATGAGGATTCACATCGGAGAGAGCCCTTTATCCTGTAAAAGGTGTGAGAAAGGTCAAAAAGGACATCTTAACAGATGCATGAGAGTTCACACTGGAGAGAAGCCTTACGCTTGCCAACAGTGTGGAAAAAGTTTTGAACAACATGGAAACCTTAAAGTCCACATGAGAATTCATACTGGAGAGAGGCCTTTTACCTGTCACCAGTGTGGAAAAAGTTTCAATAGAAAAGGAAACCTTGATAACCACATGAGAATTCACACTGGAGAGAACCCTTTCACCTGCCAACAGTGTGGAATCAGTTTCAAACAATATGGAAACCTTAAAGTCCACATGAGAATTCACATTGGAGAAAACCCTTTTCCCTGCAAACGGTGTGGAAAAAGTTTCAATAGAAAAGAAACCCTTAACAGGCACATGATAATTCACACTAGAGAGAAAACCCATTCATCTGCCAACAGTGTGGAAAAAGTTTCAATCAAAGAGGACACCTTAACAGACACATGAAAATTCACAACGGAGACAATGAGTTTCAATCAACCTTAAAGTCCACATGAGAGTTCACACGGGAGAGAAGCCTTACACATGTCCTTAAAAGTGAGAAGAGTTTAAAGCCCAATCCCAATTCTACCCCTTAGCCCTTCCCCTTTCTCAATTCTCTTTTGGTTGGAGGGGTAGGGGTAGGGTAAGGGCCAGACAGCCCTTCAAACGAAGATTTTTCGGGACCACACTTCAAACGAAGGGGTATGACTTATCTCAGCGTAAACCGGCTTCAGGGGCAACATGGCTGCCCGAGCGAACAAAAAGACACATAAATGTAAGCATTTTTGGCATTAATAAAGATTTTAACGAAAAGTAATAATTTAAAGTGAGTTTACTTAAAAAACAGCCATTTTATCCTCGCGTTGCTGGAAAATATAATGTAGCGATTCAGTATTTAAACTGTTACCCCTACCCCTTGACACTCTGTTTCAAGGGACAAGGGGAAGGGGAAGGGGTATAAAATAGAATTGGGATTGGGCCTAAATCAACTGGGAAACCTCAAAGTTCAAATGAAAGTTTATACTGGAAATAAGATATTTAAATGTGTTCAGTGTGGAATGCTTCATATATAACGTACCTTAAATACCACATGAGGATTCACTCGAGAGAAAAGTGTGGAAGGAGATTCACAGAGAAGAAACACCTTAAAGGCTTGTGCACACCGGGACGATTATCGCCGATGTTTAGCGCCTCGTGAATAAAAAAAGGGCGCCAATGTGAGTGTGCACACCGATGCGCAAAACGCCAGGCGTAAAAGCGTCATATTTTTAAAAAACGCCTCGGACTCTTTTTTTTTGGTTTGACCCGCCTCGTTAAAAACTGGCTGACCAATGAGACTGGCGCTTTTGTTCACGTGCCTGGAGCTGCTGAAGTTACAGTAAAACACGACTTGGAGGCGCTCAAGCACAAATTCATTCATTCATTGGTGTCTGAACACAAAGAGCTTCATGACACATGCGACAGCGACTACAACAATCTCGATAAGGGAGTTGTTATGGAGAGGAATTGCATCAAATAGGATTCGATGGGTATTTCTGTTTTTCATTAAGCGCCATCTAATGTCATGGAGTGAATTTGCACGTTCACTCGGCTCATCGCCAGCGAAAATCGCTTGGGTATGAATACAAAAGACACGTCGAAAAACGCTGGCGATAAGTGCGCACAATAATCGTCCCGGTGTGCACGAGGCTTAAGGCTCTTTCACATCAAGCCAAGGTGCCATTGGACCGTCATTAACCACATTAACGGCCAGGGTTTTTTTGTCCCGCCGAAAACCTTGGGCCAAAGCAGGCCAACTCGGGCTTGAGGAAAAGCTATGAACAAAGGCGGAGTTTCTCCGTGTCTGGAGAGCGTCAGCACCGCGGATTATTTCATATAGTTAACAGCTATAACGCCAGCATTAAAGACTTGAAATAATTTAGCTCAAAACTCACTTTCAGACAGCAGCAAGTGTTTGAAATAGCTTCTGTTTGAGATCTGATGATCACCATACAAGGCAGAAATATTGATAAGTGATGCAAAAGACTATGCACGCTAGCCATTACCATAGTAAACATGGTAAATACGACCGCTTGAAGAACTCAGACAAATCATATAGGCTATCACAATTTTGTATTTATTAAGTAACATATTTCATCTGTCATTAAAGGCTTTTCCACACTGAGCAAGAAAAAGCGAAAATATCGGATGTGATGACGCGCTGGAATAAAACAATAGATTTCTATGGATACTTCCACATAGACCGCGAACATTCGCTCAACCGAAAATGCGAATGTTTTTTTTTTCGAACCAGTCCGACGAATCTTTTCAGTTTCACAAAGCAAAAACACGGGCCGTCCAATAAGATTTGAGCTAGGATGCAGCTGCTGTTGCACAAAAAGTCAAAAGTGGTGGCGCTGTATTGAAAACCAGTGTAAACAAACAGAAGAAGAAGAGTATCCCGAGAGAGAAGAGAGTGGATGCTAAGTTCTTGTTATCGTTGGTATTTGAGAACAGATTTATTCTCACATGTTCTTTATTCAGAATAACATTTCTATTAATTGTCCACTGAATTATGTGATCTGTAGAGCACTGCCCATTTTCTTCTACGTGCGAGGGTGTTGTAAGTCAGAGCGCGTTCACTCTTTTTTCACATGAAATATGAAAGCAAATAGACATGATTATGACGATATATTTTCTGTATGTGTTTTGCATGCAGCTCATGGTATTTTTATAGCAATAAAGGATGTTTATGACATATTAGCAGCAGTGTTGGGGGTAATATATTACAAGTAACGCAAGTTACGTAATCAGATTACTTTTTTCAAGTAACTAGTAAAGTAACGCATTACTTTTTAATTTACAAGAGAATATCTGAGTTACTTTTTCAGATAAGTAACGCAAGTTACTTTTTTTTCCAATTTATTGATTGACAGCTCTCCTGTCCCCATGTTGAGAGAAATCAGAAGATGTTACTGTAGTTCTAAAATAAATATGATTATGCATTAATTCATCTCACTCACACAAAAAAAAACACAGATTCAGTATTCCTCAAAATGAATAAAAATAATGCAACTCAGAATATGACGCAAACCTGCAATAATTAAATGTTAAACAACACAAAATCCTTTATGTATTTAATCCCATTCTATTAACAATGTCTTTGCTTCTGACCTTCGATGATCCAGTTCAACCGTACTAATAAGCAAAAATTACTCTAGACAAACATTTGTGTGTTTTTTTTTTATTGCTGAAGTGTGTTGAAATTTCTTCTTCTGCATTCTACTGTACGGACGTAAATTTACTTTCCCTTCAGCCTGAGGCTTATTCATTTCACTTTTGCTGTGAAAAGGCTTTTATATTTGCCAAAAATATAACTTTTTCATTTTAAAAACAAACAAGCAAGCCCTGTCCAGATTTAAAAGGTAACGTAACGCATTACTTTCCATAAAAAGTAACTAAGTAACGTAATTAGTTACTTTTTTATGGAGTAACGCAATATTGTAATGCATTTCTTTTAAAAGTAACTTTCCCCAACACTGATTAGCAGTGTACTGTTATTTAGCATACAAAGAGGGCATGTGTCTGCTTAATATTCAAGATCAACTATAGATCTCAATCGGAAGTTATTACAAGTACTCGATGATGGTTTAAAGTGGGTAAGCAAATACATGAATAATTACATACATTTTCAAGCGTAGCTTGATGCTAATTGTACTTCTAATTACGTTTTAGGATGTAGCCTATTCTTGTAAGTATTATAGATAGTTTGTTTCTGGTGTGGAACCTTGTTTATCTTTATTTAATGCTGTATATTGAGCAGCAGATGATGTTAAATCAATTTACGAGATACTGAGGAAAATTGCATTGTTGGTCGGCGCCACCTAGCGTGCAGGCGTGAATTAGTAGAAGGCGATCAATCGTTTTGCGTTCGGTGTGAAAGCACCGTTCCTCGGCGATTTGCCTTGCTTTTTCGCATCGCGCTCCGTGTGGAAAGGCCTTAATGGTACAGTAAATGGTATCAGTGCCGATCCTAGACTTCAGGGGGCCCTTAAGTTTCGTCTCTTTATACCTGACTGTCTAATGTTTATATTTAGCTCCACATCTGTCATAAAATATATCATAATCATAGTGATAGTTTTTGTTTGGGAACACCCTCTGCTACTCAGGTCATATTTTTGATGGAAAAATAATAGAAATGATCATTCTTTCTAAATGTGATAAATACTGTGATTACAAATAAACAGACACAGATGTGACTGAATAAGTATGCATGTCCTCTTTTCTTTTGTGAAATAACGGCAAATGCCACTTTATTTCTGTGTGACTTTTTCAATCCTGACAAATTAATTCATTATGATTAATGTATCACTTATTATTGTAAAGCTTTTGGATTTAAATCATAAACAACACAAATTGCAAACAAACAGCCGCTTTTATTACGTTCGTTTTGTGATCTCGCAAGTTCCAGTGATTTATTTCCGATAACTTATCTTGGTTGGTGAAATGTTGGGGTTGCGTGTCGTTGTTCCAGAGAGGCGTGTAAAGACGGGTTTTAGTGAAGCGCAGCGGAGCTTCTGGCATGACGGTGGAAAAGCAGTGTGATTTTTTTGTGATCTTACAGATCTGAGGCTATTAGGCCTGCCCGGCCCGTTGAAAGCACTGGCTCGCACTGGTCCGACAGTGGAAAAGTGGCTATTGAGCATCTGTCAGCTCAGGTTTTTCAGTTTTTCCACATTGCCGACACTAATCGATCCCCATCAGCTTCAAAGGGCTCTACACGATTCCAGCTGAGGAATAAGGGTCTTATCTAGTGAAACGGATCAGTCATTTTCTGAAAAAAAATCGTAATATTTATCCACGTTTTAACCACAAATGCTCGGCTTGCTTTAGCTCTGCGATGCACATGCGCGTCTTTACACATTGCGTAATCCTGTGGGAAAGGTCACGCGCAGTTAGTTGTTCGTCTCAGTACTTTGGTTAAAAACACCATCTCATTTCCTCCTCCAACTTTAAAATCATTTGACATCGTTGTTTTACCTTTTTTTGTAAAGGGCAATGACTTTTTTTGCATGTTTGCTTTGTAAACACTGGGTTGGTACTTCCGCCTACATCCCGCGTGACCTTTCCAACATCAACTAATGCTAGCTGAGCATTTATGGTTAAAAAGTGCTTAGATTTTTTTCCAAGAAAATGACCGATCATTCTGCTAGATAAGACCCTTATTCCTCGGCTGGGATCGTGTAG